CAATGGAAAGGATATGTGTGCCGCATTTTCATCTTTGGATGGAGCAAAATTAATTAACGAAGAATCAAAAGTTGACACCCATATACCTTGCTCTGCTCACTCTGTACAACTTATAGTAAAAACACAACAACTAATATAGATGTATTCAAGATACTTTTAGTAGATTTGGATATTGTTGTAAAAGAGACCAATTCCAATTGGGCAACAGTGTGTGGAATTTTAGATGAGATTAAAAAACTATTAGTGGTAGTGATATAAAAATAAAAAAAACAAAATGTGTTGAAAGAAAAAATACACGTTTTAATACACTGTGTGATACAATAATAAGTGTTGTAAATAAAAAAGCTGCAATTATAAGACTCGTTGAAAATGGATTTTTGAAGGGATTGGATATAAATGAATGGGAAATGATTGAAATACTTTTACCTTTTTTAACCGAAGTTAAAAAATTTACACTTAGAGTGGGTGTGAAAAGTCGGTTTCAATAAATCATTTTATACCAAGTGTTGTAGAATTGTTCAGAAAACTTAACACTTATTTAAATAATCATGGTATTAAAGTATTTTTAGAAAAGGATGGAGATAGTCACGATATACCAAATTTTGAAGGAAATATTCTTTTATTTAGACACGAAAACGTCCGTTATAAATTGTTCAACAATGTTAGAAGAATATTTGTCACAAATGAAAGCGGCCAATACATCCCAATATGTGATTTTGGATTTATAATGGCATGGGTTCTTTTGGTGGATACAGAAGCTCTTATTAGATTTGGATATGCGTTTAAAAGTATTCCCCATGTTATTTCAATGGCATTATCACCACAGTACAGATTAGATAGAATAGTGAATAGAAAGATGAAATGATTAAAATAATTTACGAAGAAATGGACAAATTTACAATGAAATACCAAGGACAAAACGTTGCAAAGTTGGACATAGCATTGAGTCAAACGCTTGTTGTTTATGTTGAAGACTCCAAAAAACATGAAAATGAAAACGCACAACTGAACACCACAACAGCGCAAGAGCTCTATGCATTTTTTGGAATTTTATTTTTTTGGTGGTAAAATGATTGACACTTTGAGTTATTGGAATAAGATAGGGGAAATGTTGCCAATAAGATATCCTGCCCTCCTCGAACTTGCAGAAAAATATATATCCGTACCAGCAACCGAACTATCTGATGAAAGGTCGTTTTCTGCAGCCAAATTTATTATTAACCAATACTCAAACTCTAAACACAATGACATTTTAAACAAAGAGTGTGTATTTGCCTTTAGTAGCAAGCAGAAACAATTGAAAGAACACAAACAAAATGATTTTGACTTTTATTTGTACGTTTTCAATTTAGTAACATATTACAATAATATTTTAATTATAAATTATGTTACAAAAACAAAATAATAAAATAAATTTATTTAAAATATAATTTAAATTGTTTAATAATGTCATAATTATAATATATTATATAATTATTATTAAATTTACTATGATTAAATTAATTCATAATTTACACTAAAATGTGAAATTATAATATCGTTGTATTTTTTTGCGTTACGGATTTATTATAATACAACAAAATAAACAATGAAATACGTGTCTACATTAAAATCAAAAAATAATTATCTTAAATAGTATAATCATTTATATTTTTTTGGTTTGAAAAAACATTTGTTTTTGTTTTATAAAACAAATTTACAAAAAAGTGTTGATTATTTTGAAATAAACAACTTACAAAATACCTTGAAAACACTTCCGCCTTAGGTGAACACTTGTTAATAATTTTAAAAAAATAATTTTTTGGTTTGATTATTAATTATAAATTTAAAGTTATTACTAAATTATACTTTAACTTGCACACTTTGTGACGTTGCAATTTTTAACTTTCACACTTCGAATATAATAAATTTAGCAACAGTTTCGGGAAAGCGACCCAATGGAAATTATCGAAGGACCAGTTTTGGACAACGGTACACATCGATTTGAAATTATGAACTGCACCTTTTAACCTTATTATTCTTTTTTCTTTTTAAAACATTATTTTTACATTTAAACATGTAGACAAACCATTACCCAATTTTTTTAATTTAATTTGCTACTTGTAGTTTATTAATTCAAGCACCAAAGTATTGTGTGTTTTTTGAAACAATTTGGAAACGAATAACATTTTTTAAAAAATGTTTTTCAACTGAAATATATTCTTGCTCTCCCTTTCCCTGTAAAAATACGAAAAAATTTAACTTGCACATTTTGGGGCGTCACTTTACTCAGGCTGCAAACCTTAATTAAATAACCGTTTTTTGAAAAAGAAATAATGGCATTTTATCTTTTTGGATATAATAAAAAATCCTATTCACTAAAGAATTTTTTGCCCAATTTAAAGAAAATAATCATAAAAATTTAAAAAATATGCTGTTTGGGAATGTTTTTGAATAATATGCTCAAAACTGCACTTTATTTCGTTCTTCAAACGATATAACCAAAATGTAATAAAAAAACAAATTATTACCAAAAAAATAAATAAAAAATTTAAATATTTAAACCAAATACTAAAAAAATAAAACAAATAATTTTTGAGAAAATATTTTTATTGAATTGCATAAATAAATAATAAGAAAATGTCATTGGAATTAAGTAAAATAAAAATGTTGTAATTACATTTTATGTTAATACATGACATTAATTTAACTTGTCCAAACCCAAATGTAAAAACTGTTTCATTGTATTCATTTGAGAAGTAACCTAAATATTTTATAGTTAGTTAACCATATACCCTGTTAAGTAACTGAACTATAGTTGACTTACAAACTATATTTTAACTAATTTAAATATAATAAATATATGGTTTTATTAATTATAATTATAACAATTGTTATTTATAACTTTATTTTTGATTAGTTAATTAACTAGATAACATTATCATTATATATTATAGTTAATTTAAATTATTTTATTTAATTGTTATATTTTTTGAATTTTATCCAAATTATAATAAAACCATATATTTATTATAATTGGATTAGTTAAAATATAGTTTGTTTGTCAACTATAATTCAGTTACTTAACAGGGTATATGGTTAACTAACTATAAAATATTTAAGTTACTTTTCAATTAAACGTGAATCAGTGTATCAAATAAAACACGAAAAGAGTTTTTATATATTTCTTAATTAAAAATATTAGAATTATTAGAACCAAAATGTAGAATAAAGTGATTTATAATCTTGACACAAATAAATTTATGTAATAGTTTGTTGTTTCATTATTTTAAAATTAAAATAGATAAATTGACATTACAAGGTTGGACGATACAATATAAATATATTTATTTTTATGTTCATTTTGTTGTGTTCAAAACAGCACATTTGATAATGAAAAAAACAATATTTTTTATTTAAAATTCAATACAACTTGTTAACAACTTTGGATCGAGTTGCACAAAATTAAACATTTTGTTTGGACTCACAAAAACAATTTATGTTATTTTAATAAATACATATTATTTATAATTAGTTATGTGTATAATTCCTTTCCAAACACATTTAAATGGAAGTTGAAAATTTGTGTATAATGTTACACTATGAATTATCGATTATTATTTAAAACAAATTGTCAGTGTTGAATATTATGAACATTTTCTTTATTATTTAAAAGTCAAAAAGTGTTAGATTTGGGTTATTTATTTGAATATGTATTTTGCGTACATGTCAAATAACAATATACTTTATTTTATCAAGTAGTACATCATTTTTTAGAATATCTAATTAAAATACTTCAAAAATCCTAATTATTATTACATAAAAAACAAGTACAGGGGGGCTAAAAAACCGCTTCAGTCTTTTTAACCGCTTCCTATCGATTTAATAGTTATAAATAATATTAATATAATAAAATGTATAGTACT